TGTCGTACTGTAGGTATCCCCGTCCGACCGTAACAAGTTTACTGACTATCTACGGCCTACCTATCCGATAGGAGCCGCCGCCTCTTCCACCTCCTCTGAGAAGAGGATGAAGGACTACTTCCTAGCATCAGCAGCGTCCATCCAGCCACAGAGTATGGCCGATGGTCCTTTGTACGTCCACAGCTGGCTTGGCTACGGCCTGGAGGCAGCCAGGCAGCGGGTATTACAGGAGAATACTAATGGTAGTAGCAGGGGAATGAGGAGTTCATCACACGCGGATTTCATTAGTACACGGACATTCACAGTGGACACCGCACGGCCGTCCAGCAACCATCTCTGAGGGCTGTCGGCGACGGCGGCGCGGTCGTGATGTTAGATCCACCTCATCTTCAAGGTACCTCCCCATGCCTCATACCATCCGACGATCTACCCCAATACTACGACTATGCAGGCGTACGTCTCTCTCTCCATCCTGATCATTTGCCTTCCTCTTCCCGTTATCAGAGGTGCCTCGCTACTGTGCGGGCTGCCCTCGACCTACACCAGGACTGTGGGGCTACTCAGGCTTCCGAGTGTGCTTTTAACGGTGCTTGGAGGGGACCTATCGACCCGAGCAGCTACACTTTTCGAGTATTCTCGTATGTTTTTGACGTGGCCCGCTCTAATGGTCTGGTCCCCACTGGAGCCCACGAGGTCGTCATCACCGTAGCGCAGTTCCGCGACGTCGCTCGTGTGCGATGCGCTGAGACCGTCGGAGGCGGCAGTCTGCCGTGGGCGTGTTTAGACGCTGTTTATGTTACTTCTCTCTTGTCCGATGGCTTTGGGATACCCGACACACAGCCAACCGTAGTGGCAGAGCGCCTCTCCTACGACAAGGGCGGCCTCCTCTACGCTGCCTGGCCCCTCGGGGCAGCACTGGAAAGGCTTGAGTGATCCCTAACAGCTGCTGCTGCTGTTGGTTTGATTTGTCCATAGGGAAGCCTTGAGCGCCTCCTGTTTCCCCGTTCACTGTCCAATATCCTCTTCTGTAGTTCCTCCTCGCTGGGAGCTGCGAATTCGACGCTCACACATTGACTGTAGCATTCGTTTTTATTCACCGTTACATTTCGAAGGAATACCACATTTTTGGTTACTCATTCTTTCGGGTTTGCCCGGCGATCATCAGCTTCGTCGTAGCTTTCCGATTCCTTGCCATGATACGCCGACCAGCAGCCTCCCGCGGAGTCCATCGATCCAGCCCGATCGGCGTCATTAAGGTGAGGACGTCGCTGTCATTACTGCATTACCCGGAGGGGAGGGGCGACTCTATTTTATGCGAGTTTCCCTCTGCCGTAATGGCCTAGTCCAAAGCCGGAGGGTTGCCGCGCTTGGAGTCCCAACTTGATCTTCTACGTCAGGCACCTGGGTCCAATAAGAATACACCTCCTCGAGGCGCAGGTGGTCAGAAGGCTGCAGGCGGCGGTGGCGGCCTGGCGTTACCCCTACAGAAGAAGTCGGAAGCAACTTGGAGTCCATGGGTCCACTCATCTGACAGGTTCGGGCAGCATCTTTTGAAGAACCCAGGTATTCTTGACAAGATCATCGAAGCTAGTGACATCAAAAGCACTGACACTGTTCTTGAGGTGACCACCACCTTCGTGGCAGGCTTCATCTCTATGCTGCTGTCGCCCTGTCAGATTGGTCCTGGTACTGGCAACTTGACTATGCGTTTGCTAGAGTTGGCGAAGAAGGTGGTGGCCTTGGAGATTGACCCGCGCATGGCAGCCGAGGTCAAGAAGCGCGCTCAGACTTCGGGTGGGGTGCATTGGAGACTCTTCGCGAACGTATGGTCGTTGTGGTGATCAGGTCGGATGAATTTGAAGGTTATTGAAGGGGACGCCTTGAAGACAGCTTTCCCAGTGTTCGACGTCTGCGTGGCCAACCTGCCCTACCAGATCTCCAGCCCCTTCACCTTCAAGCTCCTCGCCCACAGGCCGGTCTTTCGATGTGGGGTGAGTGCGCTCCCGAGACCCGTTGGGGTTCATCATCAGATCTCTACTCTATCCAGGTCATCATGTTCCAGAAGGAGTTCGGTGAGCGGCTGGTGGCCCGAGTCGGTGAGGAGAACTACGGCCGACTGGCCATCAACTGCCAACTCTTCTCCAAGGTGACAGCAACCGGTCCTCCACTCGAGTAGGGTACCCCTCAGGTCACGCGAGTTTGCAACGTCTCCAAGGGCAGCTTCAACCCTCCGCCAGAGGTCGACTCCATGATCGTCAAGTTCGTAAGACTACCTGACCGCTGAGTCCCCTTCGCTATGTAGCTCACTGCTGTTGTTGTCATCGTCAGGTCCTTCACAAGGATCCTATCAACGTGGACTTCCCGGAATTCGACGGTTTGCTGCGGATAGCGTTCACGCGGAAGAACAAGACGCTGCACTCATCGTTCATGAACAAGGCTGTTATCAAAGTGCTAGAGGAGAACTACAAGACCTACTGCTCTCTTCACAGCCAACCTGTGAGTCAACCGTGAAAGGCCAGCTTCGACCTCGGATGCTTCCTGGGTGCACAGGTTCAATACCAGGGTCCGGCATTCAAGGCCCATGTTGAGAACACGTTAAGAGGGTCTGGGCTGGCCGAGTCACGCGCCATGAAAATAGATATTGACCAGTACCTGGCACTGTTGCTAGAGTTCCATCGCAACGGTATTCACTTCGTGAATGTATCGGACCCCTCTACGACAACCGACAGGGCGGCCACCGACGCCTTCTCGATGGAAGTTGATTCCGCCTGAGTGTTGCCCAAACTCAACCTCTACCAGTGCGGCCGCCGTTGAGGACTCTCAGGAGTGACCCGGCTTGTAACGTATCTTCTACTACCACCGTATGCTACCGTGGTGTTGAGTCGTCAATGAGAGGGAAGGAGAGAAGTAACCTCGGAGCCTCCAAGTGGTGGAAGCAATGGCCTTTTGTGTGCGGGCTGAGCTACTCACAGCAGGCGGCCATACACCCACGATAAGGAATGGTGGTAGTCTAGCGATGGCCCCCGATGGCGAGAAGTAGTACCGTTGGGGCCCACCACGCCTACTTGGACTACAAGAGCAGGTTCATCCTGTTCGGTGGGGACCCCCTCGAGAGCTTCTCTACGCCCGTGGTCACCACACTCGCTGAGACTCCCACCACCCCTTGGCAGTAGATGTGGTGCATCACGGGAAGGCTGGACATGCATGATCCATCCGGTGTTAGGAAGGTGCTGCCAGTCGCGGAGGGTCCACCATCCCGTCCTTCACTGGTGTCCTTCGCATCAGCCGTGGTCACTGAGGTTGGCGGCACGGATGGACAGCAGCAGGGATTGTATTTGATCGTCTTCGGTGGGGTTGGCGGGGATAGGGCATCCATTGGAGGTCGGAGGTCATCTTGATCTGCTGTTGCCAGGCCTCCACCCTCAGAAACCTACGCCTTCGATCTCAACCGACGTCTTTGGCGTCGACTCTTCTTCCCCCACGGTGGACCGCCTCCGCGACACAGCTCGGGGTTGTGCATCTCTCACAACACTGAGGTCCTTCTCTTCGGCGGCATCAGTAAGATCACTGCCACAACATCGACGACTGTTGCTCGACTAAGGCGATCCTGAGAGGCTACGGCGTTCCGACCTCTGGAGCTTGGACTTGTCGAAGGTTGACTGGTCGTACGATCGCATCCCCAGCCAGTACCATAGCATAGGGGGTGCGGTATGGAGGAAAGTCAAAGTGGGCAGCTCGTGAGTGGCTCGTATTGAACTCAGCGACCCGCTCATTCCCCTCTCATCAGTTCCACGGCACTTCGACCGTCACCTCGAGATAAGTTTGCCATGGCCTCCCATCAGCCGTCGGGCTCCATCTACCTATTCGGTGGAAAGACCGGTTAAGTCCCAGACCCCTATATGCCGCGCTTCCATTGGTGTGTCCTCTGGTGACTACTCACCTCATCGTAGGGGTCGACTGGGATACGAGCCTCTCCAATCAGCTCTGGCGCCTCGATTGTTCCACTTACGAGTGGGAACTTCTGGACACCAAAGGGTGGACCAATCGAGATCGGTGCAGGTGCCTATGGTACCTGCCGCTCAGGGCATCTCCGCCGCCCTGTCGAGAGGTTGCTAGCTCGTCGTGGCTGTAGAGCATCGGTGACTCTGAGCTCCTCCTCTTGCCCAATGATGCAGCGTCCCTATACACCCTTGATCTCAACAACCACTACTGGTCTGACCACCGATGCACTCCACCGCGTTTCCTCGCATGGCCACTGATACCTCAGGCAATGCTCTTCCCGATGATCCCATCATCTGCCAGGTGTCAAGTCTTAATGTCGGGCGAGGTGTGTCGAAATCTGCCGCAAGTCGAGGGCTTATGGGCCATCTCTCCCTACACGAGAGCCAAACGCCAAGGGCTGATCTTACTTGACAACAGCGTGGCATCAGTTATTGTTATTCCTTTTTGAATGCCGCTCAAATGACTTCTTTATCCGCCAATTGTATCCCCTCGTCACGACCCTCCCGCCAATTTGCTGATCTCTCAACAACTCGCTAATGTGATGTCCTCGACCCCCATATAGGAGTCGGCCTTATCTGCTAAATAGGCTTCTGAATGGTATAGTGTCAACTGATGCATACGGACTTTCATCCCAATTCCCAAAATGAATTAGGCCCCGGCTACCACTGGTGGGTGTAAGGCTGCGTCGACAGGCAGGACAAAGAGATAGGTTGGACTGTCGGATCGTTCGATTGACAGCTCAATACGTACAGTATTTTTAGGCGGCCTCACAGGACAGTGGTAGTGAACCTAAACTATTGTCTCCACCTGGACTGTCCAGGCTAGATATGCAGGAGGATTCTCCTTCTGCACCGTGCAACGCATGCTTCTTTGACTTACGTCAATTCGTTTTTGTAGTGTTACGGAGGGGCTGAATAGTGGGTGAATCATTCGAAAATCCATACCTGAAAGCCCGAAAGAACGAGTAAGCAATCATACAGAAGATGAGAGGCTATCGCCGGCAGCAGCAGGATTCGAACCTGCGCAGGCACAGGCTAGGGGATTTCGAGTCCATCTCCTTAACCACTCGGACACGCTGTCTTTCGGTTAAATGTAATGCATGGCGGGCTTCTCTGGCAACCGATGCATTAATGTGAGTCATCAGGTAGATGATAAGGAGACCTCCGACCTGCCTCCCCGGCGAGTGGACGCACTAGCATCCAAGTTCTACCAAGTATTGAGTCCCAGTGCATCCACCGAAGGGCAATCTGGCAGGAGGTAGGGAGCTTCTTTTCGGCATCACAACACACGATGGTCGCCGCGTCCGATATCCCCACCGGGACACCTCAGATTCGCAGAGTGTCTATACTCGTTCTCTCTCCCCTGTTTTGGTTCCCTCTCGAACGAAGCCCCTCAGCCAAAGCCTCTGTAGCAGAGAGACAGACTTAACTAGCTGCTCAACACCACGTCACAGAAGGATACAAAAATTCTTGAAATGAATCTTGTTTACTGGGCCGAAACACGATGGAGCTCATAGAAGAGACGACTCCATGGTAACTCATTCATCTTCAAAGTATAAGCTGGCATATGCTGGCCTTCGCTTCAGAGTTGAATGAAGCATGGAGCCCATGTATGGTGAAAAACTTGAAGAAAAATATCTCACAATCGCAGCAAGTCGAAACTAGAGATAACGGAAGCTCAGATTAGACGTCGTCGTCTATAAAGACGTTCCTGGATGTTCCCAAATATTCCAATGCCATACATCACATCTTCATTTTCGAGCCTCACATTCTTCAGTTGGTTCATGTAATTATTATCCTTCGACCAGATAGAAGGGCACGCCTTCTTGAAGCTTTCGAGGAGGTGCTGCACTGAGGGACGAGACGGAACAGGTGTCAGCTCGTAACATCTGGTGCCTTTCTTCTCTGATAGACGGTACAGCATATAACCAGTGTCCCCTCCGCCGTCACAGCCTAATCTCACATGAACATATCCATCCGGGTGAATGTTGAACTGTTGCTTAATAGGTGATAACGGGCTGTTGGACATGAATCTCCCCTCTGTGATCGGCCACCACTGACTCTTTGGGCTCTTTAGGCTCTTTAGGGTGATCTTTCTGCCACTCAGCTGGGATGTGATCTCACCCTTTTTGTTAAGAACAAGGTCTCGGAGATCAGGGGATCTGATGACGATGTGCTTGCAAGCAACTTGAAGGTGCCATAGCAAGAGACCGTAGGTGTGGGTTTCCCGGCTGAATTCCGGAAATCTATGGAACACAGTACTGTCCTTTTCACTCCCACTCAGCTTGAACCAGCCCGTTCGATATCCGGATAATCGGCCGCTTCCACAACTAACTTCAAGTGCAGCCCGACCATTGCTAGTGTTCAAAGCCACTTCAACAGCGGGTCTCTTGGACTTGTAAACGTAGTAACCATCCTCCGAATGCAGGATAGCCACTACCATGGCGGTGGTAGCAGCCCAGAGAAAAATGAAGAAGGAAAAAACCATTGGCAATAGTCTATTGCTGAATAGAGGGGTTGAAATCCTAGTGATGAAACGATAAATGCGACGGCTATTTAGCATCTGGCAAAGCACTACTGCGCAGTAGCGGAAAGAAAGCGAGGCTGATCAAGTCTGCAATGAACAATGAGCTATCGATCGAGGTTCTAGCGTCACAGGCGAGCGAACTGAAAAAAAGCTACAAAAAGCTAAAAAAGCTCTGCGACGGGACTACATCTGGTAGCATATGACTGCTCACAGAAACCCCAGACCTAGCGCACACAGGGAAAAAATAGAGAGATGTGATCGTGTTCTACCGTTCAATGCATCTCGAAGGTGATATTATCGTCGGATGAACAAATGTATGTGGTGGTGGTGCTTGCACGTTATAAGCGACGAGTGCATGCCGTGAACGTGCAATACAGGAATCCTGCTTGCACACTATTGCTGCACGAAGCATGTTGCAGTTATTGAGGAATTGAGCAGCCTCGGGCGCGTAGAACACCGGAGGAACTCTTCGCACGGATCACGGACCGAAAAGCGACAGAAACCCCGGGGGATGGTAAGTTCTTTTAGGATTCTCAGATGGTAATCGAGCTAGAGTCCCGACCCGCAGAACCCTGCAAGGGACCGAAAAGCGCTCATGACCAGAACCTGCGTGGTTCGAGTGGTGGTGAGTCTCGGGTGTCCCGAGTCGGGTCACCTCCCACGCATTCGATGGCTCCTCACCACTGGCTTTGGCGTATCCCTCCAACCCTTTAAATCCCTTCAAATGTATAACCTTATCTGACGCCTGTTGCTCAGTTGTAAATTTAGTATGCTTTCAAGATAGGAGTCCCCTCATGTGCCCACGAGACTGCACAGAAAATGCTCAACCAGCTCATGCAGCACCGTCAATTTCATGGCAGATTACCTGTCACCTGTACCAAGCGGCCTTCCCTAGAGTTGACACAGCTGCCGTAACTGCCTCCATGCTTCATTGTCCCCCTTAGGCGAGTGTATGTCAGAGTCTCAACGGGAATGTTCATGGTCAGATGATCTGACTCAGATCAATGGATTGTGCTCTTTGAGTTGGGCGCCATCTCGCAGTTGTGGTGCTTCAAGCAACTTGCTTCGCCCTGAGTATTCGGATTCTGACTTTTAGACTACCTGCAAATTGTAACTACAGTCCTGCGGAGCGTTGTACCGTCCATCCCCAACGCGCACTGCCTGCTCAATAGAAACTATCTCCCAACCTAAGAATCGATTCTGAAATTGATATGTGCATGTGAGCTGCGGTGCCATATCCGGAAATGGAAACACTCCCTCGTTGCGATTTGGAATATTCTTCACGCTTCGTGAGTTTTAAGTCCAAGGCTTCGTTTTTAATCACACACCACCCTGTTGTTTCTCGTGCAACTTGTGCTTCCACGTATTCTTCAGGAAACACATGTCGTACGAATGTTGATAGACGGAGCTTAGCGTCAACTGATGCGTACGGACTTCCAGTAATCTGAACCAAACCCCGGCTAGCACTGGTACGTGTAAGGCTCTTTCGACAGGCAACTAGATGGGTTGGGTTTTCGGAACATTTGATGAACAGGATTTCAGCTCAATTTCAGCCGGTATCTTCAGGCAATAAGATAAATCAGGTATGTGAAAACTAGAATAATGTCTCCACCTGCTGCCCAGAGGATTTTTCTCGCGGACCATGCTGCCTTCCGGGGGATTCCTCTGGTATTTTCTGTGGTGTTACAACGGAGTTGAATAAAATGACTAATTCACTCGGACATACTCTAAGCCCGAAAGGCTGAGGAAGCAATCCTCCAACAGACGACAGTGTCACAATTGGAACCTTCGCAGGCAGAGCCTAGTGGATTTCGAGTCCACCTCCTTAACCACTCGGACACGCTGTCTCTGTTATGGAGTTGATGCATGGCGGCTTCTTTGGCAACCGATGCATTCTCGTGTCTAAGCTACTGTACTTACAAAAGTTCAGTTACACAACAGTATTTCAAGTGCATGAGCCACTAAGCTTCGGATCATTTAGCGACTGCAATGCCACCGCTCACCGGGCCCAGTGAAAGCGGAACAGACGGATATATCAACTCCTGTCAAGTTCCAGTGCCACAGTCCACAAGGTCTACCGAGTTCAAAGCCCCAGTGCCTCCACCGAAGGACTGGCGGGAGATAGGGAGCTACTCTTCGACTTCACGACACACGATGTTCACCGCGTGCGATATCTGCATGAAATCAGTGTCCCCACCGCCATTACAGCCGAGTCTCACGTGAACATTTCCATTCGAGAGAATGTCAAACTGCTGCTTGATGGGTGATAACGGGGAATCGGATATGAATTTTCCCGGTATGAGCGGCGACCATCGGAATCTCCCCTCCTTGACTAGGGTGATCTCTTCACCACCCAGCCGGGATCTGATACGGCCCTTCTTCTCGAGAACAAGCTCTCAGAGATCAGGGGATTCGATGGCGATAATATGACCGCAACTCATTTTAACAGACGCGAGCAAATGCCTGTAGGTGTGGGTGTCCCGACTGACATCCGGGAATCTATGGATAATAGTACTGCCTCACTCATCGTCCCTCACTTCCAATCCTAGCGCTGTGGTGGACCTGGGTGGCGGCAGTGTCCAGTTGGATGCTGCTCAAGTAGTACTACTACTGTAGTAGGGAGTATCGGGAGCATGGCTTCGGTGGACGAAACTACTCTCGCCGGTCCTGGGACTTCTTCCCTTGAGTATGTCGTACTGTAGGTTAC